TTGACTTCTTTGGGATAAGACACGCGTGGTAGAGATGCTGTTTGTGGATATTTTAAGGTGCCTGGAGGATGGATGTGACTGGCCCTGGAACTCAATATTCCCCTAACCAGTTGCCAAACCAAGGCTGAGAATTGGGAAGCTTCTTGCATGAGAAATGGTTGGCTCGCCTGCTCTTGCCTTCGGAGCATCTCTGGTACTTTATTTTCCTCAGAAACCTAAAATTGCCAGCTTCTGTGGAAATGGAAGGTGGAACACCAATTCTCAACTGCAAATGACAACCCACTTGTAACACTCAGGCCAAAAGGCAGTAGGAGTGAGTTACTAAGGACTTGCTGGTAAGGGTGAACAAAATCAAATCCAACACATTTTGTGTATCAAAACACTCTTGGGCAAAGGCATGTGTGGTGGCTCAAGTCTGGAGTGCTAGCTACTCAGGATGGTGAGACAGGAGGATCACAAATTTGAAGACAAACGGGGAAACTTAGTGAGACTCTGTTTTCAAAATAAAATAAAAATGATCTGGGGGTATTGTCAGTGCTCCATGGCTTCAATCGCCATTTTTTTTTTTTAAATACTGACAGGCAAAATCTGCATGAGTCAAAATCAACATACTGGGATGTCTCTATAGCATTTCTTGCCACAGAGCAGAACCTGTCACTAGGAAGATCTTGGGTTAAAAGCAGAAACATAAACAAAGAACAACAATAACAAAAAGCTCTTCATTGTGGGTCCTTTCACTGTACAGCATATTCTATGGCAGCAGAAAAACAGAAATCTATGTTTTCTTTCTAGCACCTTTCTTCTTGTGAGATCAGGAGAGAGTATCTTTACATCTTACAATTCACGTGGTGTGCGAGGTCTTTCAAAGCATTTTCTGAAACAGTTTTATTTAATCATCACAATCATATTGTGAAGAAAGGTGTTTTTGTACATGGGAAGCTGAAGGTAAGTGACACGTCAGGTCGTGAGCTCCACTGCCTGTTGGGCCTTCCTACCCTGACCCCACAGTGTTGACAACCATGTACTTCACCCTGTATTTAGAACTTCCCTTGGGGGGGGCTCTGTCAGATGGGATCTTCCCTTATTCAGGGGCAACTGATGCTGAGTCTCTATTCAAGTTGCACCAAAAATTTGGGTTGCTCCCAAAATCCTGGGGGAAATGATGTTTCCTCTAAGGAGGAAACAGGGTGGGGGCTGTTAGTCAGACCTCACATCATTTGCACCGGGTGATGGGCGTCTTTGAAGTTGACCAGCCCCACTGTAGGTGGGTGGAGGGTGCAGATCCCTTCCATTCCTTTCTCTACTGCGTCTCCTTTTGTCTTTTGTGCAAGTCCATTTCACAAAGTAGAGAAATACGACCAGTGGAGTGTGGTGATTCACAAGTCAATGGCAAGGTAATAACAACATGATATTAATAATAGCTGATAATTTACGTGAGCTTAAAATGCTGTGTGTCTGGCACAGCCCATGATGCAGTATATATAATTGAACCCTTTAAATACCCATGCAATGCTATAATGTCTACTGATATTCCTAATTTCAGTGAAGAAAACCAAGACACAGAGGGGTTAAATGATTTGCTCAACTTCAAATGCAACTAGTAAATGGGAAAGAGTACTCAAACCCAGGCAGCGAAGCTCTGCAGAGGGAAAGAAAGATGTGCTCTTTGTGGCAGACTCTTACCTGCTACCAAGGAGGCAAAGGAATGGCAGTGATGCTCTCTTCATTGCCCAGTCCTGTGCTGAACATTGCTAGGTGATCTCAGGACTATTTCCTGTTGAGACCAGACAGGGGCCTCACCAGCCTTCCATAGCTAGCGATCCACTGTTAGCTTTCAAGTAATGAATCCACCAGAAGGAGAGATGAGAGCCCATGTGTCATTTCGAGGGCACAGTTCATAGATACCAATTAATTTATAAAACTGTTTTATAAAATACGTGTATGTGTAGCTTTGTAAAATGAATTTGATAGCCAGATTCAATTTGAGTGTACTGAATATCTGCTGTGGGTCAGGAAGTTGCTGTAGTTAGGTACTGACGTTCACAAGAAATGAACAAAATTATATCTTAAAGATGTTATGTTAGGATATCATTCTAAGTAAAAAAAAATTTCAGATATAAGTCCTTTTGAAAAGTTACGATTTCTCTTTTAAGCCCTTCCTCACCTGTTTTGTGTAATCTGGCTTGCTACGCTGATCATGGCTTTCATCCATGCACTTTTAAAGTCATTTTTGCATTCTCCTACATGCTTTTTCAGTGACTCTCCAATTTTTTTTTCTAGCTGGTCATTTATTTTCAAGCCTTTTGTTTTATACACAGTTCCATTCACTTGACAGTATTGTATTTGTCCAAGTCTAATGGGTAATACATTTACAGAGATCCAGTACGTAGAGGGGACATGTTAAGAATGCTTGATTCATACTGTGCAAGAGAAAAGCCCCGAATGCTATTTTTCAGTATTAGAATTACACTCCATATGTGAACAGTCAGGATATTAGAATCTCAAGAGGCAGCTTAATGGTGGATGCACATAGAAGAGTGTTTCCCAAGGAGGGGAACTGAAGCCGCTGGTGCCGTGGGAAGTGGCGGGTGCCAGAGGCAGAGACCCACCTGGAAGCTTCCTGCAGTGGTGACCACTGGAGCAAGCGCAGTGGCTGGGGCCGAGCGCCGAAGATACCAAGTTGTGCTAGTGCAACCATATACATAATTAACACCCTAAGTCTCAGTGTAACATGGACATTAATGGTGATGACAGATAAGTACAGAGGCTTGGCAACCAGATACTAGGCGAAACACTTCCTAAAAGGCCTTAAGAAACATGTCTGCAGGAACCTGCCTGTCTTAATACTGGTAGAACTCAGCTAAAGAGATTTGAGGGTTTCTAGTATTCTCTGTGGCTGAAGCTGAGAGTCTGAAACCTGAATGCTTAAGCTCTATTCTAGACATAGCTCCAACTCCTTCAGGATATAAGGAAAAGAGATAATATTTCCACAGTGATAGATCTTTGGTTCCCAAATAGTGGATCATGATTGTAGGGACTCACCATAGTATGGCTTCTTCCCCATCTACCTGTGTTACAAGATTAAATGGCTTGGATGAATCTTTTTGTGGTAGAACCTTAAGGAGTCATAGCATTGTTCATCCTGAAGAACTCTCTCTTCTCATTCTCAAGTATGATCAAGATCCCCAAAGAAGAGACCAGAGCCTGTGCAAATTCAGAAAGGAAATAATAATGGAAAAACCACTCATTTAAAGCAGCAGAGTACTCGAGAATCATGGGTAAGCCCTAGGAAAAGGGGACTTTCTTCTTTGGAAAAGGATAACCTAGAAAGGCAGGGGACAGAAAAACTGTGAGAGCAGGCAAACAGAATCGGTATCACCAGTTTTAAAAAGAATTAAATGTCTTAGATCTGAAGCACCAAACAGTTCAGAAGAAAATACGCCTATCAAATCACACAAGGAGTCAGTAGAACAGAATAGGACAGGAGTGGACAACGATGCAGGTATTCAAGGGACTAAATGTGCTTGTTGATGTCTTATACTGCATGATTGTGAGCAAAGGGAAGTTAGGTGAATGTCAGTGAGGAAGGGCCACTTTATTCTGCAGTAGTTGAAGAAATCACAGGCTACCTGACTGTTGACCGTGTTGACGACATTGATTCTACTGGTATAAACTGTGGTGACTGTCAGCCTGATGGGAATGCTAAGCAAAATAGTGCTGGTTCCTGTGTATTGCAGGAGAAATCAACAGCTGAAAATGGGGCTTCGGAAACCCAGAATTCAAGGTTCCATGACAATAGGAGGGAGGACAGTTATCTAGATGGTAACATGCCTTGTACAAATTTAGAAGCGCAGGTCAAGTTGGAGGATCACAAATTAGGAACTGCCTGCCTGCCTCTGGAGTGTGTTAATCAGCTGACTTCTGAGCCAGCTTCAGGCCCAATTTCTGAAATCCAGTCATCTTTAAGGGATTCTGAGGAGGAAGTGGATGTGGTGGGGGTTAGCAGTGCCTCAAAAGAGCAGTGTAATGAAAATACCAGTGACATCTTGGACTCAGATCTCGGGAGAAGCAGAGCCTCTGTCTGTTCTAGACTGCATCACAGCTCAGATGACGTCTCTGTGGGAATCTCAAGAACATTGCTATGCCCTGAGAACATCAGCATGCAGGGTCTCCCCTGCCAGAGCTACTACTACTAAAAACAGTTCTCCTTGCAGAGGGAATGGACAATTTGAGGAGAATAATCTTAGTCCCAGTGAAACAGGTGCAACTGCTAGTGATAATGTAAGGTGAGTCTCCCACAAATCCTGATGACTTTTCTCAAAATGAAAAACTTTCATGTTGTGACTCTCAAAACTGTGGAAGCAAAGGACTAAGTAAGCCACCCTCAAGGAGAAGACTCAGCATCAGACATACGCCACCTGCCAAAGAGAGAGCCAATCAGCACATCGCAGAAGAGGAACATGATGATCCTGATCTTTATTACTTTGAATCAGATCATGTGGCACTGAGACACAACAAAGATTATCAGAGACTGCTGCAGACCACTGTTATCCTTGAGGCTCAGTGTTCCCAAGCTGTCCAGGACCTCGAGAGCCTAGGTAAGCACCAGAGGGAAGCACTCAAAAACCCCATCATTTCATGGAGAAACTCCAGAAGAAGGCTGATATAGGGCTTCTTCATCCACAGAGTTGTTCAGTTGTGTGAGATTGTATGGGATCAATATACCAATAGCCTTGGGGATTTTGAAAGCGAATTTAAAAACTGTAAAAGACATACTAGGAGAGTTGTTTTTTTTTTTTTTGTTTGTTTTTTTTGTTTTGTTTTGTTTTTTGAGACAGGGTCTCATTATGTAGTTGAGACTGACCTGGGACTCACTATGTAGTCCAGGCTGGTCTCGAACTCACAGTGATCCTCCTGCCTCAGCCTTCCAAGTGCTGGAATTACAGGTGTGTGCCACCACTCTCAGCAAGTTAAATTAGTTTTTGATAAAGTAGGTTTACCTGCTAGACCAAAAAGTCCTGTGGACCCTAAGAAGGATGAAGAGTCCTTCTTAGTACTCTGTGTTGCCCTTGAGTGATGGTCCAGAAGGCTCCCACAGCAGTCCTCAGATCTTCTGAGTGAAGACGCGAAACCTGAGACGTTTAACCAGCTGTGGATAGTGGAAGAGCAGAATAAACTTGAACAGCTGCTCCTGAAGTACCCTCCGGAGGAGGTAGGATCTCAGTGCTGGCAGAAGATTGCAGATGAACTGGGCAACAGGGCAGTGAAACAGGTCGCTAACAGAGTACAGAAGTATTTCATAAAGCTAGCTAAAGCTGGTGTCCCGGTTCCGGGCAGGACACCAAACCTGTATATATATTCCAAAAAGTCTTCTACAAGTAGACAACAGCACCCGCTAAATAAGCATCTCTTTAAACCTTCCACTTTCGTGACTTCGCAGGAGCAGCCAGTGTACATGGACGAGGACGACGACCGGCCCTGCTTCCACGGCCACAGGGGCTCTGTGGCCGAGGAGGCGGCGGATGAAGAAATCATTCCAATCAGGTGTAGGAATTTACCTGAATAGAAAGAACTATTACAATTTAAAGAGTTAAAGAAGCAGAAACTTCAGCAAATGCAAGCTGAAAGTGGATCTGTACAGCATGTGGGCTTCAAGTTAACAGTGGTGTGGAACCTATCCAGCATGTTCGGTGGCACTGCCAGGATTGTCCCCCAGCGATGTCTCTGGTTTTCTCTGATTCTTGTTCGGACGGCCTACATGAAACAGATACTCATGAGGAAGATCACCAGCTGGAGCCTGTTACAGGTCAGAGACATTCTTAGAGACTACTGCGTGCCCCAGGGCACCAGTTATAATTACCTGACCCAAACTACTTTCCGGAGATCAGATGACACGGCAGAGCGAGCCTCACGAGTCCTCTTTGACACATAGCAATGGTATCATTGTTGGCGATACGCACAGTCTGGAAAGGTCTTCTGCTTTCCCTGAATGACATTCACAGTATGAGCGCATCGAGTATTCTCGCCCAGCCCAACTCTGCACCGCGTGGCTCTCGATCCCTGACCAGCAGCCACGCGTCCTGGTGAGCAGAGGGTTCCCTGGTGAATACCCCCGACCTCGAAGCCGGGAGGCGGTGAGCTTAGTGGGTGAGATGGACGCGAGAGCACACATTCAAGCCAGTGTATCCCAAAGGCTTCAGAGAACTTGGTCATAAATATGATAACAAGAATCAAAGTATTTATATTCAAAATGCTCTCATAGCTTTCAGTTTTGTGAAAATAGTTTTCAGCACAGAAACTGACTTCTAGATAAAGTTTTAACCAATGATGGTATTCGCTTCTAGGATCTGTACTCTGAAAGAACTCACTCTCCAGTGCTGGTCGTTGATGGCCTTTAGGAAATCGGAGCTGCCTAACCATACTGATACCTAATTTCTTTTAACCACAGTGGACCGTCCTTGTTATCAACAGCAAAGCACTACAGGAGGCAGCTGTGGCATTGCTTCTTAACCAGCTCATGGTGTGCGAATGTTCTAAAATCGTCACTCAGATATATTTTTAAATGTAATGTTCTATAAGATGACCATGTGATGTGTGCGAACTATGGTGAAAAGTGCCAATGGGAGTAACTGTGTAGTCTCTAACTCACAACATTTTTAATTACTTTAAAATATACAGACTTCCGCCTCTGTATTTGGAGTTGTCCGTACAGCTCATCAAAGAAAACTGCCTAATATAAAAATCACATATATGGTAATAAATTCCCTCTTTTGCAGTCTGAACAAGATCCTTAAAAGATTGTATTTTTATTACTATTTAAACAAGTGATTAAACTTAGTCTGCACAGTGAGCAAGAGTTTACATGAATTCTTTTATACTGCTGGATTTTGTTGTGCATCATTTAAAACATTTTGTGTGTTTCTTATAATCTGTGTATATAGTATGTTCTTTAAATATATTAGTTCTCCGTTCTCAGGAGAACTGTGAGAAATAAACTATGTGGATACTGTCTGCTTATATTATAGATGCTTCTTGTGACTTCCTTTGGCTAGAATTGGATTTTTTTAAACCAATGTTAATACCAGAAATTGTTTCTTTTAAGGGTTTGCTTTGCCTATTTGAAGGGTTTCTTTCTGAGCCTGAGAAGATCGGTGAACGGTGGTAGCTAGTGTTCTCCACAGTGTATGCTGAAACCTTCATCAAAGGAGCTTGCAAAGCAGAAGCCGAGACCCTACTTAAGAAGAAGGGCAGTTATTAATGCCCAGATGTGAAAGCATACATTGGAGATTTTTATTCTAGTTGTTTTTGATGAAAATAAGTCCCCATGTATTTACACAAGTGGTCTCCTGGAAATTATAATTGTCTAGGGTAAGATGGTATAAATATTCTAAGATGGATTAAAAAAAAAGGGTTTCCCAGCAATAGAATAATTACCTTTCCAGTACAACAAGCAAACTTCTAAAAGGGTAATAGGAATTGAGGATTATGCATCTGATTATATGAAGAAGGACATAAAGGTGAAAAATCTGTGTGGCAGCTGAGCACACCCAGCTGCTACGATATGGGTTATGAGTAATCTGATTTTCAGGAATTTAAAAATTCAAGCTGCCTGGGATGCATGTTGTTGGAAGCAGAACTTGATCCAGAAAAGTAGTTTAGTTCTATTTCTAGGTCAACAGTAGGGTGATGCAAATGACCTAGATTCTTAAATTTCTGAACTTAATTGATTTGGCCATGCAGTCACGACATCAAGGCATGATACCACATGGGCCCAGGAGTGAATGTACATTAACCACTGCTAGAAAACAGCACAAGGAAGCCACTGCCAAATAATAAAGCCCAATTCAAGGAAATTCCACCAATTAAACAAGCACTAATAGAAAAATCAGCAGCCCTAGGATAAGAGCCATCACTCCAAAGTCAAACACTCAGCAGTATAGTTCCTTCTAGGGGGAAAAATGGGCATATGGAGGAAGCGTACTATGTTCTGCTGACCTGATGTCATCACACTGTTGAAATGTGTTCTAGGAAAGAGGCACCACTGAAAACACTTAGCTATACGGATGTTCCCTGAAGTGCTATTTTAAAAAGTAACAATAAGGGCTGGGGAATATAGCTCAGTGGTTTTGCTGCCTGCCTTGCAAGCACAAGGGCCAGAGTTCGATCCCTGGTACCAAAAACAAAAACAAAAAACAAACAAACAAACAAAAAACACCCAAGACAAAACAAAACAAAAGTAACAATAAAATCACAAACAATAAATGATCACTGTTAGGGGGTCAATGAAATAAATAGGACGCACGTGTAAATACCGAATAGTTTCTCTGGTATGTAAAGCTAAAAGTGTAAATAAGGATTAGAATGTATAATTGATAATGTGAAATAGGAAAAAAAAAGGGCTAAAGGAGTAGGGGAAGTGGGAGGAGTTGGGGAAAGGAAAGAAGAGAAAAAAATACAAGAAAAAAAAATGGAAAAAGTCATTGTTCACTGTTAGGGGGTCAATGAAATAAATAGGACGCACGTGTAAATACCGAATAGTTTCTCTGGTATGTAAAGCTAAAAGTGTAAATAAGGATTAGAATGTATAATTGATAATGTGAAATAGGAAAAAAAAAGGGCTAAAGGAGTAGGGGAAGTGGGAGGAGTTGGGGAAAGGAAAGAAGAGAAAAAAATACAAGAAAAAAAAATGGAAACAAAGTCATTGTGAATAGGGAAGGGTGGAGAGTTTGAAAGGAGGGCAGGGGGATGGGGAAAACATAAGAACCAAGATACATCATGTAAAGGTACAAGATCCCAATGATGAACGTACCTGTATTGTATACCTAAAAGGCACCAATAAACTTATAGAGAAAAATATTGAGGCTTAACCTGGGAAGGCTGTAGCAGAGGAAGGATGGAGAGAAGATAACTAATAGTTACAGGAGTGTAGCAGGGTAGGAAGAATACCGTTTAATGTTCTATATATGTAGCACAGTAGAGTATGTTCCACAACAATTAATTGAATATTTCACAGTTGTTAGTAGAGAGGCTTTTGAATGCTCCCAATATGAAGAAAGGATAAATATTGTAGGCAGTCAATTTGCCAATTACCCTGATCTGATCATTACACATTTTATACGTGCATTAAAATGTCATATTGTTCCCATCAATATGTACAATTATGATATGTAATTGTGATATGTAATTACTATATGTGCCAATTAAAAATAAAAAGAAGAGATGATACTTTTACAAAAAGTGCTATCTATCTATCTATCTATCTATCTATCTATCTATCTATCATCTATCTATCAATCACCCTTGTCATCCTGGGGGCCAAGAAAGCAACAAAATCTCATTGGTCAGTAAATTTTATATATGTTGTTTTACAAATTATGTATATAGTAAGTGTGAAAAATGATTATCATCTCTGAGAGATGATGATTTTTGTTTTCTTTCTGTGCATACAGTGTATCGTTTCTAAAACAACCACAGTGATCATGTATGGTAATATACAGATTAAAAAAATAAACAGGCACTATATGTTTCTGAAGTCTCTGCTTGCACTTTCGGCACAGTGCTTTGGGGCATGGCTAGTGGAGCCTTGAGCAGAACATGGTCAGTAGTCTTCCTACCTGTCAGCACCATGGATAAGGTTAGTAGTCTGGGGTTGGCTGCACCTCAGGTTTGTCCTTTCTTCTTGATGACTTCTGGTGAACGAGAGTTACCATCCTTTGGAAGGCCCTTACCCACTCTTTGATGCTTTTCTTGGTACAGATACCATCTCCCAGACATATTTCCTTTTCTAGATAGTCTCTTCTTTCTAGATATTCACTTTGTTCCAGATACTTTTCAAAAGGATGCTCTTTTTCTTCCCCATGCATTTCCTCCTTCAAATCCTCTTCTTTAAAAAGATCCTCTTTTCCTTTCCAATAACTTTCTCCTTCCAGAAACTTATCTTCCTCCAGAGACTCTTCCTCTTCTGGATAGTCCTCCTCCTCCAGAGACTCTTGCTCTTTGGTGAATGGAGGCTCATCCTTCAGACTCTCCTCTTGCAGCTCCATGTCAATATCTTCTCCCTCTGATGGCAAGGTCTGTGTGGAATGTTCAGAAGTTGTTCTGGAAGGGTGAGGAGATAAGGCTCCAGATGGCAAATCTTTTTCAGCAGACATGCTGGAGATGCGTTAAGAAGATGAGCCCTTTCAGCAGCACGAAATGTCACTGTACTTCCTGGAAACCAAGAAAGGAATGAAATCCCATTAGTTAGTAATAGCCAACTGTATATTGACTTACATCCATTTTGTTTACTCATTCATTTAGTAGTCTTCGGTGAGCCCTTTAAGTATGCAGATCCACACACAGTGGCTTGTGAAAAGGCACAAAAAGAGATGGGGCTTTAATCTCCATGAGTTAGTTGGGTAGATCACATTAGGAGGCAAAGACTTTGGAATTACCATACAATATGAAGTAAAGGAGGAGGGCTGGAGAGTGGAACAATCAGTCTTTAGCACTGTGATTGTTACAGTATACTTGTATTTATTCATTTGAGAAATATTTATTTCCACAACAAAAAGACAGACTGTTTTCTAGGAGCTTCAAGGTTCTGAGTTTGATTCCCAGTACCAAACAAGCAAGCAAGCAAACAAACAAAAAACGACAGAAAAAGAGTGGGTGGCACAGCTGGCCAGCCCATAGCCTGAGAGACGAGGGGAGGCCATATCTGGATGGAGAAGCGTGCTCGGTAGAGACGAGGCTAAGCTCTGGGAATAAAGCTCCAAGTTCTGACCATGCAACTTCATCAAGAACAGGGTAAACAAGGAGGAGGAGAGACAGTAGATGGGGCATCTTCATCAGGAGGAAGAAGCAAGCTGTCTAGGGGAAGGACCACCAGCCACGCATACAGGTCTGATAACGACTGGGTGGTCAGAGTTGGGGAAGAAAGTGAAGATGAGGAGCAGAAAAGCAGGAGAAAGGCCAGAGATGGTGGGAAGAAAGCCCAACCTGACTCACCTCTGTCCCCACCCCCGATTCACTCCTGAGTGTGTCTCATCCCAGGATTCTACTCTGTAACCCTTGGGGTCATGAGGTCCCGACTATGAGGGAGGGCAGTTTATGCTCCAGGTAGAAAAGACCAAGGTCAAAGCCAAGGTTAAGCCAGACCTTGAGGGGCTTCTACTTTTCCAAGATGTGGCCTAAGCAGATATTGGACAAAGGGTCTGCCACCACAGAGGGTCTCCACTTTCAGCAGGTACAAAGGTTTCTGTCCAGTGCTGCCCTTGCTGTTTGCACTGCCCTCATTGTATTCCCAGGGCTCAGTTTGGGATCCTTCAGCCCTAGGTCTGCCTTGGGGATGCAGCCAACACCAAGGGCTGGACAGATGCCTAGGAGGGAACTCACAGCTATGAGCAGAATTCCTGCAAGTTGGCCCCTGAGAATCACTCAGGTCTCAGCCAAGCTTGAGGCCACTCTGCTGGCCTTTAATGTGTTCCAAACTGCTGGCAGGTCTTCCAGGGTTCCATGTCAAAGATCTAGAGCCAGAGCCTTGGCCCTCTGAGGGACTCCTCCTTTGTGACTACACTCAATGAAGTCACCTAGGAGGGAGTGCTGAAGGTTTCATCCTACAGTCTTGGCTTCTGAAGAGGCAAAGACAGCAGGTGTAGACAATGCAGAGGACTCTGTCTATAGTACAATTGAGATCACTTCTGCTCCATGTCCTACAGGGATGCAGAGAGCAGCTTCAGAGGTACTGAGTGCTCGAGGCACCATGGATGCTGCATCTTCAAGGGATGAGGCTACAACACAGGGCTATTTCTTTTTTTGGTACCAGGGATAGAAGTCGGGACATTGCACTTGCAAGGCAGGTGGCAGAACCACTGAGCTAAATCCCTGGCAATACAGGGCTATTTCTAGGAGGGGGCTCATCATACACAAAAGTCAAATCTGCTTACTGCTTACAGTTTGGTGGTTAAAAAAGTCCCACAGGCTTCCTGGAGAAATTCCTTCCCTGGAAAATTGAGATCATGACATTGTGTTTCCATCGTTAAGAAAGACCTTGTGGTTATTACATGGCAAGGTTTACATCATTATGGGGCTTGAGGTTCACGGTAACTTCCTTGAATTTATCAGAACTGGGAAGATCTGAAAGAATATGATGCTTGAAAGAAGTTCCGTCAGCTCTCCTTGGCTGTCAAGTAGTGCTGTGACCTGGACATCACCCACAGAAACTTTCTGATTGTCAAGGACTTCAACATCAAAGTATCTGATGCTAGCTTTCAAATGCTGTCAAATGACAATAGCAAAACTTTCTGTGGGTTGAGGGTATCACAGCTCCTGAGGTGCTTTAAGGCATCCTCTACCAGTCTGATCCTCTCCATAATGGTCTGTGGCTCCAGGCCCTGTCACAACTCTAACATCAAGAAAATGCTGTGTACCTAGCAGGAGCACCACGTCAACTTCCTGCTCTCCAAGTACCTGAGAGGAATGTGCAAGGACCTCATCTACCACAGACAGCTGTGATAGCAACTGAAAGATGCACATCTACAAGATCCCCAGCCAATGCCAGACACAGCCCAAGGCACAGTGCTGCATCTCCTCTGTAGTCATCGACCAGGAGGTGAGCTTCCAGCACATAGAGCTCTCATGGACCCCTAAACCTGGTTCAGACAAAGGGTTCAACTGTGGGAGAAAACTGGCTGCAGGACAGTGAGCAAAGTCTTCTGTGGGTAGAGGGCATAGAAGGCCCTTGAGGTACTGCAGGGCATCCCCTACTCATCCAAGGTGTTTGATATCTGGACCAAGCTGGAGACTTGGCCTGAGACAAAACTCAAAGGAGTTATGGTACAAGGGTCCAGGCAGTGTCCAGGCAGTGGGAGGTCTTGGGTCTTGGCAGGCACCAGAAATGCTCACCCAGTGAGCCTCCTTCAGCCCAGGCAGAACTCATGACTTGGACCTGAGCCAGGAAGAAGACATGGGTAAATCTGAGGAGGAAGACAGCTCTAAGGAGCTGTCACTTTTGTCAGTGTCTGCTGTCTCCTTTTGAACTTGGTAGCTCACATGATTTGCCACAGTGCCCCTTTCCTCTTCACCTCACTCTGGATAAGCTCATGGAGGTCTGGCACGTGAGCTTCACTGATCTCATCTTCCCAGTCACAGAACCACCACACAGCCTGGCAGGGAGATGCTCTGGGTGTTGCTGCTGTAACAGGCAGACTGCTCAGGGTAGAGTGAGCAGAACAAGGAAGGCACCACTGTCTGCCTTGGGCACCATCTATCCCCATTCATCGAGGGTGGGTGGGGCGGCAGCTTATGACACTGGTGGGAGGCCCAATAGGGCTGGTTGTGGAGAGGCTGGTCCTCCGCCTCAAGTTCCAACTTCTCCAGCTCTGGGCAAGATGTCAATGGTCTCCCATCTGCTTCTGTATAACAGTGGAGACTGATTAAACCAACTTGAGCAAAGGGATTCTTGCAGCCACTTGCTGAATGGTTAAGAAATGGCAGATATTGAGAGCTTTGCCTGCAGCTGATTTGCTCTTTGACCTTTATTGTGTGGCTCAGTGGCATGTGCATGACTCTGCGTAAGCTGTCTCAATGCTTTTTGGAGGAAGCATGGTATAAGTCATGGATGATATTGTGATAGAGGAAGATACCTACCCTAAGGGCAAAAGGTGAGCTGTGGGAAAGTTTTGGGATTTACAGCTATCTTCATGGAAGCCTCTTCCATTTTAAAGGAAGCTGCATCAGCTTTAACTAAACTGAAAACCTGAACATATGATTGCTGTCTATGTCTACACCCTTGCTCCTAATGCCTTCCTCATAAACTAGAGCCGGGGATGGTGAGAGCAACTGGAGAGTTGTGACAATGGCTCTTTGCTTGGCCAAACTATAGTCAGGGTCCTGAGCCTTCCTGCGGGTCCATCTGTGCACCTCCTTGCAAAATCTAGTTGTAGTAAGAACCCTGCTGACTCAATTTAAAAAGAAACCCTGAGAAATTATCATCTTCAATATCTGATCAGGCTCCCCACCCTATGTCTTCCCTCCAGGTGATGTCAGATCATCTTTGCCTGGCTTCAGCAAGAATCCTGTCATGTTGGCTTAACCAAAATCCTCATTATCCCCGGTATTTCTTTTTATATTTTCCATTGATCCTTATGGAATCCTGATATTTCTTCATACTTAATTTTCTATTTACTGATTCCCATGCCATTCCTGGGTTATGAATGCCTATTTGCCCTTTCTATATTTGGGATTGATCCCAGTTCTACACTGAGGTCTCGTTTCTCCTATTGCACAAGTCCTGAATAAAATCTGCTTTTATGCCTTCAATGGCTGTCCAGTTTTGGTTTGCTTTGACAGCATCTTTCCAGCTTTACCCTGGAATGGGCAAGGAACACATATAGGAACAACCACTTCATCAAAGGCTTACACTTCACAACCCCTTACTTTTCAGATTTTTTAACTGCTTAAAAGATCAAACTCTGTTGGTCTCTTGAATACCCCAGATTGCGTTTATCACTGGCTGTCATTCAGGGTTACAAGGCTTTCTTTCCAATTTCTCATCAGGTTTTGTAAAAAGGAGCTGCATTCCAGACAGCTGCATTCTCATTTCAAAGATCAGAAAAGAAACTGAATTCTAGACATCTTCCCTTTAATTCTTCAAGAAAGTTGTAAGGAAAATATACAAGCAGAAATAAATCTTAACAGCAACCTGATACTCAGTGTCTGAGGTAAACATCCTTAATCTGACTTGTGATTCAGATCTTGATTCATTTTTATCATGGTTTCTGACAGATTGCAGGTTAATTTCTTTGGTCACAACAGGAAAAGCATTTTTGCGCTAGATAACTGCAGCTCATAAATCTCTGCACGAGCACCCCACAATGACTGCTTCCATCCAATAAATTGGCAGATTTTTGGCAGACGGTTTTAATCAGTTTAAATAAAGTCCCCCCTAAATATTAGAACAATTGTTTAGAATTGCAGAATTCATAAAGAATCAAGGGTTCTGGAAGTAAGAGTCAGGCTTGGGTTGGCTTTTCTCACTGGAAATATTGATGTTGAGTAGAAGCTGTGTGCTTTGAAATGGACGTGCTCTTTCCAGTTCTGCCTCTGAATTCACTGCTACCTGTGGCTGCTCCCCCTACAGGTTGGTTTATCATTACACAAGTCCTGTTGT